TTCCGGCCCTCCGGTCCAGTTTAAGAACCCATTGTGGCCCTCGAGTCAAAAAGTTTGCCCACCCCTGTCCTAAAGGCAGAATCATGTCTCTTCTGCCCTTAAGTCCTCCTCTGCCTAGCACTGTGCCTGGGACACAGTGAGTACTTGATAGGTATCTGTTAGGAACCCCAAGCCATGCAATTTGCTAATGGATAGCGGTGCATTTGCTAATGGGGGCTGCTCTCGGGCAGATGGAGCTGCCTGCTAGTCAAAGCAGAGATGTCTCAGCTCTACATTAGGATTTTATAAGACACAAGTGAAGAGGCAGGTCACCACTCTGTTCCTGCGCAGTGAAACTGAGCATTTTGAGGAGGAGGGAAGAGTTGAGCAATTTGAAAACTAGGACAGCTAATTACCTGGACTATTTCCAGCAGTGGGGCACCTATGATTGGCTGCTGAGGCAATAGGGTGAGCTAAGGATGACAGTCACCTCCATATCCAAGACAACATTTTCTCTGCTGCAGGTGCAGCTCACCTCCTGAGGGGGAACGAGGCCCACTGGTTTAGTCACCAGACAGTGGCCTTGCATTTTTATGTTAGGACCATGGGAGTCCCTGCACCTTGAGAAGCAAAGGGTCTTGCAGAAGTGGCCTTTAGGGCATATATAGCGAGAGCTAGTGCTCTACTAACAAACCGTTATTATGAACAATAGTAATAAGCGCCAACATTTTTCAAGTGACTCTAATGTGCTAAGGTTTCATCCTTATTGCTATTCTCTAGGGTGGTTATTTACTAGTGTTCCCTTTGTTCTGGTGAAGAAATTAAAGCAAAGGACATATTACTATAAGTGGTACAGTGAGACAGGAATCCAGGTAGTCTGCCAGTGAATTTTAGAGAGAAGTGTTGTGTGTAGCCATGAGTGTGATTATGAAACTCTTGGAAAGAACAGTGATTTTATTCATCCATTCACTCCACACGTGCTGAACGCTTGCCTTCTACCAAGCCCAGCCTTTGCTGGTTAAGGAGATTATTGTTTAACGGCCCAGCAAGCATGGACTTTAGTTCACCGTAACTTGAGATAGACAGAAATAAATGTCTGATAGAGATTAAAGAAAGTGCATTGTTGGAACATTATGAAGAGAATTATTGACTCTGGAAGAAGGGATCAAGGCTGGCTTTATAGGGAATGAAGCAGGAGTAGAAAAACAATAAAATAATACCTCCTAAACACTTTTATATCTTAGGCATTATGTTTGACATTTTAAACAATAATAACAGCTATTACTTACTGACTACTCTATATACCAGCCACTGTGCTTAGCATTTGTGTGTGTAAATTCTCTTTAGTGCTCACAAAAGCTAGGTAGCATCCCATTTTACAGATAAGGAAACTGAAGCCTAAAGAAGCGGAGAAACTTGCCAGGGCCACAGATCTAGGATCTGGATGAGCTGGGTAGTCAGTCAGGTTGCAGAGCCTATTTTGATAACCACTTTGCTGTAACATGGGCCATGCATGTTTTATCTCCTTTCATCTTCACAACAACCTTAAAAGTAAGTATTACCAAACTTATTTTTTTTTAATATTTTTATTGATTTCAGAGAGGAAGGGAGAAGGAGAGAGAGATAGAAACATCAATGATGAGAGAGAGCATTGATCGACTGCCTCCTGCACGCCCCCCACTGAAGATCGAGCCCACAACCCAGGCATGTGCCCTTAATCAGATTCAAACCCGGGACCCTTCAGTCCACAGGCCGATGCTGTATCCCAGGGGTCCTCAAACTTTTTAAACAGAGGGCCAGTTCACTGTCCCTTAGACCGTTGGAGGGCCGGACTATAGTTAAAAAAAACAAACAAACTATGAACAAATTCCTATGCACACTGTACATATCTTATTTTGAAGTAAAAAAACAAAACGGGAACAAATACAATATTTGTAGTTGCATGTGGCCCGCGGGCCGTAGTTTGAGGACCCCTGCTCTATCCACTGACCCAAACCGGCTAGGAAACCAAACCCATTTTATAGACAGGGACATCAACTTGAGGATTACGAGACTTACCCAAGAGCCTCCGAACATGGCAGAGCTGGCTCCCGTCTTCCTCAGGCTCTCCCCTGCTGCCCTCACACCAGCTTCAGTCTGCTTCATTAACTTTGTGGGCTGGCTTCATTGTAGACGTGTCCTTGACTCTTCCCTTGTCCTCTCCCCGCTTTCTTTCAGGGAACATCATTAAGAATGAAGCCTTGTACAGAGCTGGGATCCATCCCCTTTCTCTCGGTTCACTCCTCAGTCCTCGGCAACTTGAGATCCTCGTGGATCATGTGGTGGAGTTCAGTACAGACTGGCTTCAGGACAAGTTCCAGGGCAGACAGAATCACACACAGATCTACCAGAAAGAGCAGTGCCCTGCTGGGCACCAGGTCAGGAAGGCGGCCTTTGGGCCTCCAGGTGGCTTCCAGAGGCTCACCTGGTGGTGCCCCCAGTGCCAGCCCAGGCTGCCACCTGACGAGCCAGAACAAGTCCAGCTTCCCTAGGGCCCTTGGGCCCCTTCACAAAACCTTGCCCTTCAGGGAGCTTGATGCTTGAGTGTGAGAAAGGGGGTGTGGGCAGGGATTGGGACTAGGAGCAGGAGTTGGAGGTGAGGGTGGTCAGGAGGGTATCAGTCCTGTTGATAGTCATCTCACTGAAGTTGAGTTTTCACAGGGTTAGATTATTTTTTAAGTGTTGTTTAATTCTTCCTAATTCTGCCATTGTGAAAGATGAGAAAAGTTATGTTGACAGTTATGGGAAAAGCCTCCCAGAACAAGTGGGTTAATGAAAATATAAGTCTGTGGAAAATAGCTGTGCCCCACCATTGTTCTGTTTGGTTTGGTTTTGAAACTTTGGTTGTTTTAAGGCCCTCCATTTGAGAATCAGGAACACGGAATTATCTTTCTTCATCCCCCTGGAGAGATCCAGGGATGAGGATGGAGTAGCATGAGGGTCATGCTGGATTCAGCCTCCTGCCCGGGTCCTTTTCCATAAGATGGAGACACCAGGAGAAAGGGCAGGGGCGAGGGGAGCTGGCCACCTTTCTGATGTGCCCAGTGGGCTTTAGAACAAAGCTACTTGTTTCCTCCTAGGGTGATATATTTGTGACCATTGCTATGTGGAACCAGCAGGAATCAAGGTTGTGGAGATACAGTGTAAAGGTGTTAGCAATAGCTGGAAGAAACTAGGACATTTAAATAAAGCTCTTTGACATTTCCTGTTGTCATCTTTATTTGGCAGGAATAGTCCTTAAAATATAAGTAACTGAGTTCTTTGGCTGTATAGGACTTGTTGAAGTGGCCTGATGGATCCACTTAAAAGGAGGAGGGCAGGGGTTAGGGGAGGTGGAGGAAGGTACAGGGGGGATACATGATGATGAAAGGAGACTTGACTTGGGGTGGTGAACACACAGTATAGTGTACAGATGATGTGTTGTGGAATTGTGCACCTGAAACCTGTATAATTTTGCTAACCAGTGTCCCCTAATAAATTCAATAAAAAAGGAAAGAAAAAAAAAAAAAGGCGGGGCACGGGGTGGGGGAGAGGGAAGGGGTGAGCGCACACCTGCCCTTCTGCCCCTCAGGCACTGCAGTGGCAGGAGAGCTGGGGAAGCAGAGATGGATTTCACTCCTGTGGCCCCAGTCTGTGGCATGTAGATGACAATTATTTGTAGGTGAATTAAAAACAGTGGCTGATATGTCTGGCTTTCCTTCTCTCTCCTCTGTCTTAGGAATTGAGAGTTGTCAACAGTGGGGAAGCCTCTTCATGGCAGACCTATAACCTGTATAATAGTTCATGTGTACTGATTGCGTACCATGTAAAGCATTTAGCCTAGTTCTTATGTAAGCTGCAATAAAACTCAACAAGAACAAAACACATGAAGATAGGTATTCACTCTTACTGCCTTTGTTTTGTAGATGAGGAAACAAGTCTAGACAGGCTGAGGAACTTGCTAGAGTCACACTGTTAACAAGGGCCGACGGCACACACACTGTAGCCTCCTCTCTGTCGGGCTCAGACGGCATCGCTATTCAGTAAGTATTCATTGTGCACCTAGTATGTGCCAGGCATGATTCTAGGTGCTTGGGGGTAAGTTCATGAACAAAACAAAGACGTGTTGTCATTGAACTTACATTCTAGCAAGGGAAAACAGCCACTAAACATCGTAGGTAAATTAGAATGTGATAAATATTCCCGGAAAATTTTAGAGAAGGATGGAGGATCAGCAGAGGTGGTGATAGGATGACCGGGGTGGGCCTAAATGAGGAGGTGAAGGAATTAGCCAATTGGATATCTCGGGGGAAAATATCACAGGGAGTGGAGTAAACCAAGCATGTCAAACTCGTGGCCGTCGGGCCACAGGCCTCGTTTATTTAAAGACAGACGCTCAGTTAAGGTAAAGGTTGTCAGTGAAGATACGGCCTAGGATGTAACTACCCACCATAACTGCTTTTAGTTAAAGTTTAATTTCAGAGGATCCTTTGTGGTTACTTTAGGTCTCTGAGTTTGCAAGACTGCCATGCAGGCCTTCCCTGAGCTTGTCAGGTTAGCATGTGGCCCCTTTCGTCCACACTTCAGATCCTTTTTGGGGGGGAGTAAGTGGGTCCAAAATAAACAATTAGAAGAGAGTAGCTGAAACTCCAGTGGAGATGTGGTAGGCAGATAGACATGAGCAGAGCAAGAACGACAGGCCAGTTACAGAAAGTCACCAGGGCAGACCGACCTGGACACCTAGCAGTGAAAAAAACTGGTAGAGCAGATACTGGAGATATTCAAGATCTTGCCCCTGAGATGATGTCCTCTCCACCGTAGATTGGCAGGTATTGGAGATAAGTATTGTCATTCAAGAACTCGCCTCTTACGCCCTACTCCACCCTAGAAGCCTAGGGTCATGCAGGTCAGATGCCCACGTGGCGAGTCATGTGGTAGGCCCCCCCGCCCTTAGAGGAGAACTAGGGATGAAGGAGAGCTCCATCTGACTCCCGATGCGAGGGCTGCGGACCATCCACAGGGCAGGCCCTGATAGGTCAGCTGGAAGAAGAAAGCAGCTAACCCCTGGGAGGGATTAAAAGGAGCCCTGCCCCACTCTCCAGGGCTGCTCTTTGAGGCCCCCCGCTGGAAATTTCTCTCCAGTGTGCTTTCTCTTTGCCCAAAACAATCTCTACCGAGTTTGAGTCTTGGCTCTGAATTCTTTTCTTGGCCAAAACTCGAGTGCTGAGGTGGCCGAACCCAGGATTGGTCTGATCCACTGGCCAGACACCGGTGCCCTTCCGCCGCCCACAGCAGAGCGATTGATTGACAGAGACGCGAACGCGCTTTGCGGGACAAACGGGGGTGTTCGTCTCACAGGTGAGCTGGCCAAGCTGTCGCTTCGCGTGCTGTTGACAAAGGCCCGACGGCTTGTGGGTGGGCTCACCTGCCTTTTCAATGTTGGCCACTCGGGCGGGACCGCCCACACCGCGCGCCCCGCCACGAAAGAGCTAGTCTGGCGCCAGCAGGACAGACAAGGCACATGGCGGCCTTATTGACAAAAATCGCGGCGGACTCTCGCCCGCTCCGCTCGGCTACGCTGAGCCCTCACCGGAGGCAGAGTCCAACGCGGGGGTCGGGGACTGCGGGGTGCGCGCCCCCAGCCCCGGGGAGGGCAGCGGAGGAGAGCAAAGCCCCGCCCCCCAGGAGGAGCACCGATCCGGTTCGTCTGCCTCTTTGTCACCCTTCAGTTAGCTTCCAGCCCGTCTTCATCACGCCAGGCCGATCCTGCCGCCGATTGGTCGGCATCTTCCTGGTGCGAACCGCCCTGGCCAATCAGCGCTTGTCAGTCCACCTCACAAGCCCGCCGGAAGCAGCTCGAGAGCCCGAGGCCCGTTAAGATGGGCGGGAAGTGGGCGTGGTGGCGCCGCGCTGGGCCCGCCTCCGCTCCTGCCCCGCCCGCCGCGCCTCCCGTGCCTTATCCTGGTGTCGGGTGCGATCCGAGGTACTAGCCAGGTGATCTCCGAGGCCCGGCATCCTGCCGTCAACATGGAGTTCGTGAAGTGGTTGGGGCACCCGGAGGAGTTTTACAACCTGCTGCGCTTCCGGATGGGGGGCCGGTATAAGGTGATACCCAAGATGGACCAGGTGGGTTGAACATCCCTGCATCCCTGCCCCGGCGGACCCAAAATCGGGGGCGAGGGGCGCGGCGAGGCGAGCGGGTGCCGGACGCCTCAGGCCCCCGCCTGCCCTCGGAGCAGACCCCCGCCCCGGCAGGGGGCTCCACCCGCCCAGCCAGGTTCCTCTCCTTAACTCCACGTCGCGCCCAGCCAGGCTCGGTCTCCCACGCAGGCCTCCTCTTCTCGCCCCGACCCCCCTCCCCAGATGTCCTACGGCTAAACATGTTTCTACTCGGTCAGAGCATTGGTTTTCAGGTAGTTTTGCATCAAATTTTATTCTTCACATGGATGTTTATTTGTGTTTTAATCCTGGTTTACAAAACAGGTTGTGTGGGTAATTTCAGTGGGAGAGGACTGGATAGGACCGTGTGAACAAAACGTACTGTGTTGATATTATCAATGAATACATTTTCTAGAGCCCTGCCAGCTCTTGCAGAAGCGTCCCTCACTTCCCTGCAGCCTGGTCAATCCCCTCTTCCCCAGTCTTCTTAGATTTTGATAACCTTTATTTTCTCCTCCGAGTTCTTAGTACATGGTTGCCTGCGTGTCTGTTGATTCACTGCATTGTTGGCTTCTTGAAGGCTAGACCTGGCTTTATTTATATTTCATCTGCCTCATTTCTGTACCCTTTGCTAAGTGAATGCTTACAAAGGCATTTATTCCAACAGGAAAACTATTCTGAAGTGATTATTGAATAAGTAAACACCTTCAGCTGAATTCGTGGGTTATATCAAAAGCTTTAAATTCTTTTCCCCAATGGCAGTATCCCAGTGAAATACTGTTACTTGTTTAAATGTACCCTTACTTGGTGACCTTCATTAAAACACTTTGATTTTCCACCAGAACATTTTTTTTTCCATTTGTCTCATGACTTAGAACCCTCATCTTTCAAGGTCCAGGTTGAGTGAGCGCCACCTCTCTTAACCATTCAGCGGTCATTTATTAAACACCTGTTCTGTGCTAGGCATTGTAGAGGGTGCAGCATGGCAGGCTGGTGTGTGTAGACAAATAAGACACTCAAAGAACTCACCACCTTGTCAGGTCAATAAAATGTTATAAAATTGTTCACAGAAAACTTAGGAAGGCACCCTCTTGAGAGGCCTTTTCATGTCACCTGTGAGCCTCCCTTAACCATTTTCTCTGGCACTATTTTACCTTCTATCAGTCCCACAGTCTTGCATTGTGGTTATTTGTGTATTGGCTTTCTGTCCCCCTAATCCCTTTCAGATTGAAGATTCTGGATTTTAAGCAATTTGAAGATAGGAATCTTGTTCAATGTACCTTTAGTGAATTAATGAACAAAGGTTGGTGTGCACTGCCTCAAACATCTAGCTTTTTAAACAAGATAAACAGCAGTAAATGTGGCAGATAATACGAAAAGCCATAAGGAAATTCACAGAAGTGAAAAATCACTTTTGGCTGGGATAGGGGATTAATCTTCTGAGGAATGCCTAAATGAAATGCAGCTTTAAATTGCTCTTGTGCCTTGCCCAATAGATACTTGTTTAATTAGAGATTCTTACTAAGAATATTTATTTGGAGCTTTCCTGAAGTTGTTTGCAAATGTTTATGTTATTGTGAATTTGCGTTGAGGGGAGGGGGAAGAATGGTGTCCACTATTATCAGATTCTCCCAGGGATCTGTGACATAAAACAGATAAATAGTCACTGCTTTACAATCCCGGTTGTACAATCTCCTGAACACCTGTGACAGATAATGCACTACCTCAGAGGTCCACACACTCCATCTCCAGACAGCTCTGGCTTTTAGGCAGTGTTACTTTAAAGGGAGCTGAACTTCCACTCTTTGTTCTCTCTCTGGAGCCAGAGAGTCTAATCCTTGTTTTGTAATACAGTACTTGAAGTGTTTTAGGAGAAGTCTCATATCTCGCTAAGAAGACTGATATACAAGCCAAACGTTCTGTGTTCTTCCACTTGATACTACCGCTCTTTCCAGGTCATTTACCATCCTGGCCTCTCTCTCTAAAATCTACTGTTCAAAATTGAACAGTACTTTAGGGCTGGGCTGGTTATTTCAGACTTTAGAATTTATTTTTTATGGATGTTGTAGTTTTTTTAAGTTAAAATCTTATTTATGACCCCAGTAACATAAAAGATTTGTTGTCCATGCTCAAAAAGAAGAAAAAGGTCTTAAGCAGGTCTGTGGTTTGTCTCATTCCTTAGACATCCCAACCTTATGTTTCTTGTTTTTTTTCTCTACACCTGTGAGGAACTTCAGTGGGGGAGTATCATAGTGCTTAACAAGAAATGTCACAAAACTCTAGCTGGTTTGGCTCGGTAGATAAGCATTGGCCTGCAGACTGAAGGATCTCTGTGGACCGAAGGGTCCCGGGTTCGATTCCAGTCAAGGGCACGTACCTTGGTTGTAGACTCAATCCCCAGCCCTGGTCAGGGTGCGTGCGGGAGGCAGCCAGTCAGTGTGTCTCTCTATCATCCATGTTTCATGATTCTCTCTGTCTCTCCCCCTCCCGTCCACTCACTCTCTCTCTTTTTTTTTTTTTTTTAAAAAGATGTGTCTTTCTCACATCGATGTTTCTGTGTTTCTGTCTGTCTCTCTTTCTCCCCCTTCATCCCTCTCATCCACTCTCTCTAAAAATCAATGAGGAAAAATATCCTTGGGTGAGGATTAACAACAACAAAATATATACAGGCAGCCTTGGATGTTTTATTTCTAATTAACATAAGTTAAGATTGCTTTAACTTTAAAAATGTGTTTAATTAAAAAATATTTCCAACAAATAGGAAAGTACTAAAAATACTACAACAAACCACTTGTGTCTCTCAAGATTAACTCTAAAGTTTTTTTAAAATATATTTTTATTGATTTCAGAGAGGAAGGGAGAGGGAGAGAGAGATAGAAACATCAATGATGAGAATCATTGATCGCCTGCCTCCTGCACACCCGCCCTGGGGATTGAGCCTGCAACCCAGGCATGTGCCCTTGACTGGAATCGAAGCTGGGATCCTTCAGTCTCCAGGCCAATGCTCTATCCACTGAGCCAAACCAGCTACGGCTATATTAAGTTTTTTTGCTGTATTTGCTTCATCTTGTGGACTTAGAATTGTGGTCAGTCCAGATCCCTAATTATACTTGTTTAAGACCTATTCTCTCATTTTTCAAAAAATATTTTAATTGATTTCAGAGAGAAAGGGAGAGGCAGAGAGAGAAACATCAATGAGGAGAGAGAATCATTGATTGGCTTCCTCCTGCTCGCCCCCTACTGGGGTTCGAGCCTGCAACCTGGGCATGTGCCCTTGGCCAGAATCTAACCCGGGACCCTTCAGTCTGCAGGCCGATGTTCTATCCACTGAGCCAAACCAGCTAGTTCACATTCTTCAATTTTGAGAGTGCAGGAGGTGTGTTGGAAAGGAGGTGTAGTGTGTTCTTTAAGAGAGTTGCTCTTCAGAACCAGTGCAACTGCAACATTCTGTTTATTGAAGCTCGAGTTTAGACATCAGCCCCAAACCATTAGATTTAACAGAGGATTAAACATCTGGCAATGCAGAAGGAAATCATTGCAGCCTGATAACAGCAATTTACGTGAAGAACTGGCATGGAGCTTAGTAAGTAGCTCTTCCTTCTCTTTTACTATGAAGTCTTGGGAAGGAGTTTGTGAATCATTTTTAAATATTCTATGAATGTATTTATTTACTAATCAAACCTTCACTGTGTATTTGATTTTACTAATATAAGGTGCTCAGTATATAATTTTTACTAATAATTGTGTTGTTGTTGTTAATTATCACTGGATGATATTTTTCCCATAGATTTTTAGAGTGGGAGGGAGGGAGAGAGAGAAAAACACTCATGTGAAAGAGACACATTGGGGAGGGGTGGGGGGAGAAAAGAAAAGAAAAAGACACATCAATTTGTTGCTTTCCTCTCCAGCAAGCGCCCTAGGGCAGGGCCCATGCTCTAATCACTCAGAACACCAGCCAGGGCTTTAATAATATCTTTTTATTGACCATGGCAATAAAATTAAATTCTCCTGGTTGTGTGATTTTTTTTTTTAACACTTTTTAAAATATATTTTATTGATTTTTCACAGAGAGGAAGGGAGAGGGATAGAGAACCAGAAACATTGATGAGAGAGAAACATCGATCAGCCGCCTCCTGCACACTCCCCACTGGGGATGTGCCCGCAACCAAGGTACATGCCCTTGACCGGAATCGAACCTGGGACCCTTGAGTCCGCAGGCTGATGCTCTAGCCACTGAGCCAAACTGGTTAGGGCGGTTGTGTGATTTTTTTAAAAGCTTTACTCTTTAATAATATGCATCCATTCTAGGAAATACCTTATATAATAAAAGGCTAATATGCAAATTGACCAAATGGTGGAACAACTGGTCATGATGCACACTGACCACCAGGGGGCAGACACTCAATGGAGGAGCTGCCCCATGGAGTCAGTGCACTCCCACACGGGGAACGGGGAACGCTGCTCATCCAGAAGCCAGGCTCATGGCTGGCAAGCACAGCAGCAGTGGCTCTCCCGCCTCCCCAGCAGCGCTATGGGGACATCCCCTGAGGGCTCCAGGACTGTGAAAGGGTGCAGGCTGGGCTGAGGGACACCCCCCTTCCCTAGTGCACGAATCTCATGCACCGGGCCTCTAGTATACAAATAAGAACATAGTTGACCTAGACCCCACCAGGGTCTAGTGTTTGTTGTCAACATTCCAAAGTGACTATGGGATATCCAAGTGGATATGCCATATGTATTTTTTTAACCTCTCCTGTTAGGTACTTCAAATATTTTCCATTTCTCTTTTTAAAAGAGTGGGGGAGATTGTGGGCATATAGGAATGTACATGGGAACTCTACACTTTCAATTCAATTTTCCTATAATAATAAAACTACTCTAAAATATAGAGTCTCTAAAACACACATACACAGCAGTTCTTTCTTTTATGCATGCATATCAGAATATGGTTTGTTGTGTTTTTTGTTTTGTTCTGGAAAAACTACTTGTTTTCTTGAAGAAAGAATAAAATTCACGAAGCAGCTCGTTACAGCTCACTGATTTGAAAGGGAAAAGACGATTAGAAATCTTAAAAGGAATAACTAGTTTTTCAGAGAATGGTATACGTTTCCCAAGTGTTCAAGAAAAAACAGCTGAACAAGTAGTTAAAGTGGTGAAAACAGATTTTATTCAAAAAAGCTAGTGCAATAGGGGAAAGAAACCTCCGTATAGAACTGGGCTCAATTCTGAATAAAAGAAAAAGTGGACATTTATAGTCAAGGAGCAGGCAGAGTGGAAGGGTCGATGGAGAGAAAATTTCTAAGAGGAAACATCTGGGACAAGGGCTTTCTGGCACAACGACTTAATGGGTTTCTTGCTGGGGGATGGCGGGGAGGCTGATCTGGTGCCCAGATTTGGGAAGTTTGATCAAAGCAGTTTAGCAGGATTTTTGCTAAAATTGGGCGATGCAAAGATAGACACACAAGTGGAAATGTGGAGGATTCAAAGGAGCCTGACTAAAGTTTGCCCACGGAGAGATGCTGTCGGGGACGAAAAAGCAAGCTTCTTAAAAGTGGACTTGTTTCCTTAGCAGCCTGTGGGTTCTGGGGAGAAGGGGAATGCGGCGCAAGGGGTTGCAAGCGGGGCAGAGGGGCCTGGCCAACCGTGGGGCGTGGCCGGCCTCGGGGCTCGCGGCGGGATTCGCGTTTGGGGGGCGGGGGGCGGGGCACGCGAACGCCTGCTCCCCGCTCGGCCAGCCCCCAGCCTATTGGGGTGGAGGGAGAGCCCGCCCCGCCTCCTCGGTGGGCGCCTCCCAGCTCCGCTTGGGTCTATGGAGGAAAACTTGGCGCAAGCTGCACAATTCTGATGGCCGCAGCCGCCTGCGGCACCAAGGCCATGTCCCTCTTCAAGCGGACCTTGGTGCTGAGCCCCGCCGCGGCGCCTAAGGGCGCGGGCACCCCCTCGCGCTGTTGTCCCTGGCCTTCCAAAGACTGGACTCGGGGAGAGGGCGTCTGCGCTCGGCTACGGCGTCCAGCGGCTGCCGGCTTCCTGCCCCAGTCCCACTCCTGCTCCTCGACAACTGCTACCTCCGTGTGCCTTCTCTGCCCGCAGGACTCGCTCAGCAGCAGCCTGAAGACTTGTTACAAGTACCTGCATCAGACCAGTCGCAGTTTCGCAGCCGTTATCCAGGCGCTGGATGAAGAAATGCGGTGAGTAGCGGGGGTAGCCCCTGTTGACTTGAGAAGGAAAGCTTTCCGGAGGGCTTAGAGTCATTACAAGCAACTTGTTGACATAGATCGCCACTAGCATTGCACTGTGTGTTCGTGGTTGGTTAAGCATAATTTGTGCCACTTGAATAAAGGAAATGTTCCCTGTCGAAGTGCCCATGTGTTTACTTTAGGCTGCCCTTCCAGGCACCTTGCCATCTAATATTATTCATGCAGGCCCAGCTCTTTGGGGAGGAGGCGGGGGTGTTTATTAACTTTTCTTAGCCCTAGCGGGCGAACTTGTCTCTGAGCAGGCCATGCATTTTTCTTGGCTTCACTTAGGCTTCTCTATATTTCTAGTTTGCCGGGTTAATTCTTGACAAGTTGCCTCTGTGCATATTACATATGTACATGAATTTAAGCCAATTGCCTTTATGTATGATAGTATTTATATTAAGAAGTTGTGTCTTTTGACTTAATTTTTTTATCTGAAAAATATTAGTTCCATCTAAACATTTGGTCTTTTGGCCTTTGTACAATTCTACATTAGTTAATTGTAACTCATTCTGGGAGTAGTAATGACATCCAGCTGATAAGTTTATTTTATTTTATTTTTATAAATAAACTACAGAAGTCCATTGCTGCCATCTAAGAAAAGAAAACTAAGATATCTCAAGTATGAAAGGCTGGATATTCTTTCCAAGTTCTGTAGAGTTAAGGGTTTAGAAAATGGCCTGGTATAAATGAGATGTTATTTCAAAATAAATATATTTGGAAGTTTGTTCCAATACATTAATAGTTCTTCCTTTATTACAGCAATGCAGTATGTATATTTTATCTGGTTCTCCGAGCTCTGGACACTCTGGAAGATGACATGACCATCAGTATAGAAAAAAAAGTCCCACTGTTACACAACTTTCACTCTTACCTTTATGAACCTGACTGGCGGTTCATGGAGAGCAAGGAGAAGCATCGACAAGTGCTGGAGGACTTCCCAACGGTAGTGGAATTACAGATCTCTTCTGCCTGTGGTTATGTTTATTATTGATGATACAATGTCACTAGCCTGCGTACCTGTAGAGAACGGTTAAATAAGCAATCAGAGGGCAACATAATAGAATGTGATTGCTAAGCTAGACTGCCTGGGTTAGAGCCCCAACTCTCCCACTTACTAACTGGTGCTTAGTTACAAAGCCTGTCTGGGCCTCACTTTTTAAAATCTGTAACAGAGAGATAATAACAGGACCTACTTCATAGTATTGTGAAGATTAAAAGAGTTAATATCAATAAAGCTCTTAGAATGCTGTTAGCTACTATTATTATTGGTAGACTGTTTTGAAGTCCCATGTTTACTCCTGTGGAAAGATGCATTCCAGTTCCAGTGTCATAAAGGATGGATGCTCAAGCTAACCCACAAAACCTGTTCGCCAAATGCAGTCTACATATGTGGCGCTACTGGCTTGGGTACTATAAGCCTGATGTCATGGGCGTGCTGCTCAAGATGGGTAGCAGCTGTGGTGTAGGGAGCAGCCTCGCAGCAGCTGGGGTGAGGATTGAGAAGCAAGAGATCCTCTGTGGCTTATAGCTGTGTGATGCTGCACAAGTTCCTTCTTGGCGTCTCAGTTTTCTCATTTGTAACGTTAAAGCTGCAAGGATTGAATAAGCTCATGTGTCTAAAGTACTTAGAATAGTCCCTGGCACATACTGAGTATTCTGGAACTATTAGGTGTTCTGTCCATTCTGTTGGAGTAAAGTGGGTTATAATTAAAACTTGAGCTTTAGGAAATCCCAAAGTTTATGTGGTACATGGAACAAGGCCCTGCTTTTCTGGATTTGCATGATGCAATGTCACTAGCCTGCGTACCTGCTAAATAAGTGATTCTCTCATATCTTACAAAGTTTTGATTTAGCAAAGTCTCATGTTCCCTAATAGCCCAAAGAAGCCCTTCTGTATGTACATAGTTGCCAGGATTTTTAGGGAAGAATGCTTCTTACGTGGCTCTTGCTGTTGATAAATCTATATTCCTGAGTGGAGAGGGGAAGACTCCACCATTACAAAAGAGTGTTTGAGAAAGGCTCCTTTGGAGCAAGGGCTGGTTCAGATTACTGGTCTCATGTCTTCAGTGTCATAGCCAAAAATACTATACAAAATATAAGAAAAAAGTGAAAAATAATGAGAGTTGATACAGTGCAATACAATATAAAAGAAGAAGAAAGGAAAAGAATCTGAGAAAGAATTAGGTGAGGAATTAGAGCTCACACCTTTCTCGGTTATACTGGTGGGCTTACCTAGTATCCTTTCTTCATGCACTTGGGATCACCCCAAGGACCTGGGAATCTGTAGTAATTGTGAAACAGAGTCACCTGGAAGGGTAAAAAGAAAATAGGTCCTGGCTCACTTCATTGGGCATAACTTATTACTGAATTTGGAGCGAGTCAGCAATGCTTTCTCCTTCCCTCAAGTTTCTGGGAAAACACAAAGCTCCTCATTGCCACTCTTTCCTAGATATTTTTGTTTTCATTTTTGGAATGTATATAATTATGTAACAAGTACCAAAGAGTTGTTGGAGGGGATGGCTCAAATGCAGCAGTGAAATGTTTATTTTGGAGTGTTTGTTTTTAAGTCTGAGCTGCTGCTCCTCCCCCACCCCACTGGCCTTTCCTCTCTTATAAATAGAACTGGCCTGGCCAAAGATCTGTTGAAAGAACCGGTCTTAGGGAGATTCAGGGATCCAAATAACCTTTGGTAGACTTGCTCATTTGTTTCAGTCCACAACAGGAATTACCTTTGGTTTTGCTTGGAACAGCTGTTCTGGAAAGAAAGTTCTGGAGAGAGTGGGTTGATTTTTTTATGGATTTAGGGGCGGGGAGAGGGGGGTGCGGGAATGTAACAGTTGAAGCTCATAGAATAATCCTAAAGTATTTTAGGCTTCTGAATCCCTTTGGTGCCCTGCAACCAGCTGGTTTTCCCCCAGGTCCTTAAATTTTGGAGTTGCCTGAGGAAGTTTTTCTAACCTTTCTGTAAACATAGACCAGGTATTTTTCACTTTTGCTGCAGAGTAAAGTAACTTATAAACACTTCCTTTAACTTAAGATATTTATGCAGTAGCAATGAATTTTAAAAACATCAGTAGTACTTTTCTATGTAAGTACTATGGAAAAAATTTTGGGTAGCATGTCTCAGAATGAACTAAATTGAGTTGTGTAAAAGTTAAAAAGTGTGGCCTTATTAGTGGAGGAGACACTAGCTTTGTGATAGAAATTTGGGAGCTGATGATAGAATATGGTCGACTGATCACTGGAATATAAACTCTGCAGGATAATGAGTTTCTGTTCCTTTCTGGCTGCTTGTCCCATGTCTAGACAGTGCTTATTACATAGGAAATACTAAATACATTAGCACAAATGAATTTTCATTATTATGAGGTTTTTCTGAAATAAGGCATTCTTCCTAAAATTCTTATATTTATGCTCAGTTCTATGTTGAAGCATTTCATTTATTAAATATTAGAAAGATGAGTGTATAGTGAGACTTTGAATCTTCTTTTGAGTCTAGAAACTAGCATTTTTAGACCCTTCTATTTTAATATTTTTTAAATTTTCTGGGTTTATTATTCAATATGTACAAATGCTGATGTTAGTTAGGCATAATCTAGATGTTAGGCTTATAGATGAATCATTTGGGCATCTTTATAAATTTACTCTTGCTTTGCTTTATGATCTATAGGTACCATCCATGTTGGTTCCCACTGTAAATACACATTTTCTGTTTTTTATATCTCCCTTTCAGATCTCCCTCGAATTCAGAAATCTGGCTATGAAATATCAAACAGTGATTGTCGACATTTGCCGGAAAATGGGATTTGGGATGGCGGAGTTTTTGGATAAGCACGTGACCTCTGAAGAGGAGTGGGACAAGGTTAGTGTCCCTATAAAGCAGTGTGGAGGGCATAAGACAGGCTGGCAGTCCTCATCATGAAGTTCAGAAGGAGAAAGTGGTCCACTTGTTCCAGATTTTCTGGTTTTACAATCCATCAGTTTATTTTTTGATTTTTTAAAAAAAATTTACTTATTGATAATTAGTAAGAGAGAGAGAGAGACATTAATTTGTTGTTCCACTTATTTATGTACTAGAGGCCTGGCCTGTGCTGCACCCTCTCGCAATCTGGGTCCCCTTGGGGCATGTTGGAGAGCCGGTTTCGGCCGGATCCCCACAGACCAGGCCAAGGGACCCCACTGGTGCACAAATTCATGCACTGGGTCTCTAGTATGCATATAAGATCTTTGGTTAGTCTCTTCCCACCCTCCCCCTTTCCCTCTGAGATTCATCAGTCTGTTCCATGTTTCCATGCCTGTGGTTTCTGCTCCTGCCTTGAGTGTCTGTCCCCTGGTGGTCAGTGCACATCATAGCTATCACCAGGTCAGCTAGTCACTTAGGCTTTTATATATATAAATATATGCTAGCATATAGATTTCTTGGTTGATTCCTGTATGTGCCCTGACCAGGCATTGAACCCACAATCTTGGTGCATCAGAACAATGCTCTAACGACTGCTCTAACCAACTGAGCAACTCGGCCAGGGCCACAACCTGTCTGTTTAGCTTGACTGTCTCATCATAAACACTTAATAAGGGCTTATAGTCTAATATCTGAAATAATGCATGCTATAGAGAGTTTACCATTAAATTAGGCCAAAGTAGATATAACTCATCTCAGAGGTACAGACATTAAGCTTACAAAAGTGTCTCTGACTTGCTGTGAAATTTTAGGTAAATGGCCAGATTACTTCATGTAGTATAGAGATATTAGTATTCAGATCTTAAAAATGTATTTTTTGTTATTTTCTTCTTTCCATTATGGACTGTGTGTGTGTATATATATATCTTAGTATCTGAGTCATTTCAGGTTCCATCTTAATACAAGATTACTTCTAAACTGTTAGATTATATATTTTTCCTTAGAAATAAAAGTAGTTCATGAAAATTCACAGGTATTGACTTTGGATTGTAGATGCTAAGGGTTGAGCACCTCTCTAGTACTTCTTCCTTTCCTATCATCTCCTTACAGAAATAAGACAATATGAGATGTTCCAGGTTTCTTGACATCCCGCAATTTGTATTGTGGTTATAAGCAAATATGTGTTGGAACGCACAGCTGTGAAGTATGTTGACCAGGGCAGGAGTTAGGGGCTGAGAGAGTGCTTACCTAGACAAAGTGACCTAATCAACTATGGGGACTAAACTAAATATCAAAACACAAGGTAGGAGGAAGGGGGCTTGCCCAGTGTTCATGGAGTGGTGCTTGTGAGACTTAATTCATCACCTCATTGGAAGCAAAGACGTTTCAAACATTTAGGATCACAAATAGATGCTACTACATATTCACTGAGTGAGTACAAATCCAAGGTCTGCCATCTTAATTTTCAAGCTTCAGAACTCGATGACAACATCTTTGAAACTGTAGGTCGATGCTTCCCAAGTTAGCAAGCGTGGGTGATTGCTGCTGGAATATCAGTTTATGAATTTAAAGTTAAAGCTAAAACTTCTGGCCAAGAATCAGCACTGGTTATCTGCACAGTAATTTCCTTTTCGGCTGTGCAGATCTGTCAGGAAACTCAATTATAGGTTGTTAAATAGAAGTTCTGATCAGATAAAATTGAGTACTTTAAAAGGATTTTATTTTTTCCTTCAGTTTTGGAGAACAATGAATACTTCCATTCTAGGAGTATTTCTTTTCAAAGAACTATTACCTTAAAATAAAATATACTTCTCCTTGGACAACACTATGGATGTACTAATGTTTTTAATTTCTAGTAATTCTTTTAAAAATTTTTATAGTTGCTCACAGCTCATTTCTTGCTCTCTAATTCCTGCATATCTTCCTCTGCTGGAACATATTTCAAGTGCTTTCTCCTTGCCATGTCAGTGGTCCTTGACTAGTACCTGGCTTTGTATTACTTTCAACCAGAGATACTTTATTCTTTGCGTAACTCCTCTCCAGAGGATACCTTCTTTAACTACTCTTCACTTCTGATTGTGTAGTGGACATTCCTTTTAGAAAAGCATTGCATTAAGTTGCTTTGGAGAATACTCTTTTCAGGGGAGGATAGCTTTGACAAACGACTTTTATAGGTAAATACTTTGATAATTATTAGCTTACTAAAACCCCTTTAGAACCATGGTTCTCAACCTTCCTAATGCCCAGACCCTTTAATACAGTTCCTCATGTTGTGGTGACCCCCAATTTCATTGTTACAAATTGAACATAATTAAAGCATAGTGATTAATCACAAAAACAATATGTAATTATATATGTGTTTTCCAATGGTCTTAGGCAACCCCTGTGAAAGGGTCCTTCGACCCCCAAAGGGGTTGTGACCCACAGGTTGAGAACCGCTGCTTTAGAGAATAGCTGTTTTAGCAAGGTTGTTAAGCCTGTCTCTTAAGCCAGACTACTTGGCTTTGAATCCTTGGCCTCTGCCTTCCCAGATGTGTGGCCTTAACTTCCCAGATGAGTAATCTTGGACAAGTTAATCAACTTCTTTGCCTCCGTTTCCACGTCTGTAAAAGGGTGGTAATAGTATGTACTGCATACAATGTTTGTGAGGATTGTATATACAGGATGGGGCAAAAGTAGGTCTACAGTTGTTTGTATGGAAATAATACAATAATTAATAAATAATACTCTGTGTTTTGAGTATTCAAAACAGTAAACTCACTTTTGCCCCACCCTGTACAGAGTGCTTAAAACAGTTTCAAGAACATCCTGGTAGTACTTTGTTTTTCTGTATAATGAGGATTTTGAGATACTGCATAATCTTGAAATGCCTTCAAGATTAGACTCCGTATTCAAGTTTCTATTAGAATATATTTTATTTCCTCATTGCCTTCACTTCCACTTTTTGATATAAAAAGTTTACTAGTTTATTTTTTAAATAACCTTTTATTCTAGAAATAAAGAAAATGCAAGTAATAAAAAAAGAAAACGCCAGCCAGAGGTTACTTTTGTTAAATCTTTTGTGCACATCCTTCTTGGATGTCCTTACATGTCCATAGTGTATATTTGTGTTTTTTAATCAAAATGAGATCTTACACATATTGTTTGGAGCCTGTACTTTTGTAGCTAATGATCTCTAGCATTTTCATTTTAGTAAAAAATTTATTATTAAAGTACTTTAAAACTAATCTTTTACAGTACTGCCACTATGTTGCCGGGCTGGTGGGAATTGGCCTTTCTCGTCTGTTCTCGGCCTCAGAGTTAGAAGACCCATTAGTTGGTGAAGACACAGAGTGTGCCAACTCCATGGGCCTGTTTCTGCAGAAAACAAACATCATTCGTGATTATCTGGAAGATCAGCAAGATGGAAGAGAGTTCTGGCCTCAAGAGGTAACAAATTCAGGGGACTTGGGGGAAAATAATTTAAAACACTTTCTGAAAACAAACCCCATTAAACCCTTTTGGTTGCAAGTGACAGAAATGCAAATTAAAGTACCTTAAGCAACATAAGAGAATGTATAAAGTAGGTTAAGATGTTGTTTGCTTCTTGTAAGTAGATTGGCTGAATCCAGGGATTCAGACTATGTAATCAGGCTCTGTGCCCTTTCTCTTGGCAGGCATTCTCCAAGTGGTGGCTATAACGACCCATGACTCACAACCTACTAGCTTAAAAAAGTTCTTAGGGAGGTCTGATTCACAGGGCATGATTCCCTCAACCAGTTGCTAGAACCAGAGGGCTGAGTACTCGTATCCAGACTCGTATTATATCTTCCCAACACACACACAATGCATTCCTGCCTGCCTCCACCCCCCCTAGCCAGAAGGATTCTAGGGCAAGAAGAGGGAAAGATGGACACAGATAATAGGGTGCTGAAGGCCTGGGGCGGGGGCGGGGCTGAGATGGAGGGGGTCAATAGGGGAAAGGGGGTGGGGGAACATTTGTAATACTTTAAACAATAAAGATTTATTTTAAAAAATAGAGGGAAAGTATGCTAGATAGGCAAAAACTACAGATGCTCATTTAACAGACAAGAGTTGATCTTTAACAGTTAAAAAGTAGATGGGAAAAGGGAAGGCTTTGACAAATTGATTTTTATTCAGAAGGAAAGCTAGACAATTTTATAACTATTTGCTGATTTTATTCCAGCATTTACCTTTCGCTATCCATAAAGTAGTTTCCTAAGACGAAGTGCTTTTATTTATTTACTTTTATTTTTCAATTATATTTTACATTCAATTTTTTAAAAATATATTTTTATTGACTTCAGAGAGGAAGGGAGAGGAAGAGAGAGATAGAAACATCAATGATGAGAGAGAATCATTAATTGGCTGCCTCCTGCACACCCCTACTAGGGATCGAGCCTGCAACCTGGGCATGTGCCCTTGATCAGAATCGAACCTGGGACCTTCAGTCTTAGGCTGATGCTCTCTCCACTGACCCAAACCGGTTGTGGCTACATTCAATTTCATTTTGTAATAGTTTCAGCTGTATAGCATAGTGGTTAGACCAGGAGTTCTCAACTTTAGCTGTACATTAGAATCACCTGGGAATCTTTTTAAAATCCTGATTTCTGGGCCTCATCCTCCGGAAATTCTGTTTCTTTGTTATGGGTTGGGGCCACAACATTAGTAACAAAGAAACAGAATTTCCGGAGGATGAGGCCCAGAAATCAGGATTTTAAAAAGATTCCCAGGTGATTCTAATGTGCAGCCAAGGTTGAGAACCACTGGCTTAGTACATGCTGCACTAATTGTCCCAAAGGGACACTTTCCCAAGTACTTTATGTACTCTTAGGTTGTGATTAGTCCTTCACTTGTAGTTATAAATAGCCATTGGGTGTAGCTTAAAAAAGACTAAATCTTGGTGAAAGATGAGGCAGCAGCTAAAGAAGATTCAGCTGTGTACCAATAGTTCTTATTCACAAAGATCCTTTCATATTGCTTGTACATTTTTCCTCTATGCACATCTTGATTTGTATTTGATCTTTTTATCTGTCTAGGTTTGGAGCAAGTATGTTAAGAAGTTGGGTGATTTTGCTAAGCCGGAGAATATTGACTTGGCCGTACAGTGTCTGAATGAACTTATAACCAATGCTCTACATCACATTCCAGATGTCATCACCTACCTTTCCAGACTTAGAAACCAAAGTGTGTTTAACTTTTGCGCTATTCCTCAGGTATGGAATAGGGCTGTGCTTGTTGTATATGGGAGGTAGAGGTTAAAGGGAGTGGGATGGTGGTAGTGATGGGGGTGGGTAGAATGCATCTACTATTTTGGTCTGCTGTATTCAGGAATATGGTTCTTTAAAAAGATGACTCTAGTTTATTTCCTTTGGCTCGGGGGCAGGCAGTGTTTCACAACACCTCCCCTTTGCCTTACAACCACCACACTCAGCTAAGCCTCAAGGTGAAGTCTGCTCCTTCCTAGATTTATGGGGAATGCTGAGTAGGTGAAGCTATTATCATGAAAAGTCTTAATTAAGCACCTAAAATTTGCTGTCCTATTTTTAAGACTCAGGCTAACAGAAACTGATCCTATGGATCTAGCCCCTTGATGTTTTAGGAGCTTACAGTGAAAATGCTTTTACCAGCCCGGCTGGTGTGGCTCAATGGATTGAGCGTCATCCCATTGACCAAGAGGTCTTGGATTTGATTCCCCGTCAGGGCACATGCCCAGGTTTCAGGCTCCATCCAGTAGGGGATGTGGGCGTGCAGGAGGCAGTCGATCAATGTGTCTCTCATTGATGTTTGTCTCTCTCCCTCTCTGAAATCAATTAAAAAAATGCCTTTACCAGTTTATTTTTTTTGTTTTATTTTTTTAATCCTCACCTGAGGATGTTTCTCCATTGATTTTCAGACAGAGTGGAAGAGGAGGGGGGGAGGATAGGAGGGGGGAGAGAGAGAGAGAGAGAGAGAGAGAGAGAGAGAGAGAGAGAGAGAGAGACATCAATATGAGATCAAGAGAGAGGGAGAGAGAAATATTGATATGAGATCAATTGATTGCCTCCCGGGAGCCCGCAAATGTGCCCTTGAATGGGAATGGAACCTACGACCCTTCAGTCCATGGGCCAGTGCTCTAACCATTGAGCAACAGGCCAGGGCAGTTTCAGTTTTTAACTGAACTAAGTGAAGAAAGAGGATTTAACTGATTTGGAAACTTGCTTTACTCTTGTTCTGATAGCCAAGCTTGAATGGTTCTTGGAACTAAGACCTGTGTGCCTGATTTAGGTTTTCATTTATCCTAAAATTTACTTTTGAGCATGGGAAACTACCTTTGGTTTTCTTTTGTCTCCCTCCCCCCATTATGATATTTGTAAACATATAATGATTATGTTCACTGTAGGAAAAACAGAAAAAAAAGAAAAAGAAAAATCTTACTAGATTTTTTTTGGAGATTATTTTTCAGATCTAATAACTAGCATGGAAAATGTTACATTGGTTTGTATCTGGTTTTTTTCCAAATAAAAAAAGGACTTTCATGACTAACCTATGGAATCCTTTAAGACTGCAAAGACCACTGATTATTCTGTGTGTTGTTGAGAAAGGGGGAGTGAGAAAGGTAAACATCTGGACATGCTTTCTTTATGAGAATTTTTTCTTCGTTAGTTATTAATTACATCTTAGCTCTTTGGCAGCTCTTTCTCATTCTGTAGAAGATTTTCTTACCTTCTCATGATGATGAAGAAGTGGCCTACAGAGCCACTTCTTTCCTTTGTTTTATGAAATGAAATGAATTAATTAGTGTTTTTGTCCTCTGTGTATTGTCTTTAGGTAATGGCCATTGCTACTTTGGCTGCCTGTTACAATAATCAGCAGGTGTTCAAAGGGGTAGTGAAGATTCGAAAAGGACAAGCAGTAACCCTGATGATGGATGCCACCAACATGCCAGCTGTCAAAGCTATAATATACCAATATATGGAAGAGGTGGGCTATTGAGCTACCTGGATAATTTGTAGCTATTTTTATGATTTAAATAGTGTTCACTTTAACCATGTCATTTGGGTATTAGATGACCCTAATAACTCACTGTGTTATGTAGTAAAGAGGTAGGAGTTGGTGGCCTTTAGCGGGGGCGGGGGTGCACACAGGGAGGGAGCTGGTTGTTGACTCTGGTGAGAGGAGTTAAATGAAGCAAGGCTGGGACTCCTACGAAGAATCCTGTTTTTCAATCCTGTTTTTTGAGCTAGGAGATAATGTTAGAGGTCAGTCAAAGTTCTGGTTTACAGGTGAGGTGTGTGAAGCTGAGGCTTGTGTGTGCTAATGCATTGTCTGACTGAGTGGTTCTTGGACCACAGACCTTATTTCCTGACACCCCTCCGTACTTGCCATTACATCATGGGCCTCAATTGCCATTACATCATGGGCCTCAATTGAAAAACCACGGTAGGAAATTTTGGCAAAGGAAAACCATCAAGTTGTAATTATTTCTAAGTTTTCTAACACAAATGCCATTTCAAATGCCAAAACCGTAAAATAAATGCTGGTTTAAGTCAAATCTCTATTAAAATATAACTAGGTTCGCCGAGGCCGGTTTGGCTCGGTGGATGGAGCGTCGGCTTGCGGACTGAGGGGTCCCAGGTTCGATTCCGGTCAGGGGCATGTATCTGGGTTGCGGGCACATCCCCAGTGGGAGATGTGCAGGAGGCAGCTGATCGATGTTCCTCTCTCATCGATGTTTCTAACTCTCTATCTCTCTCCCTTCCTCTCTGTAAAAGATCAATAAAATATATTAAAAAAAACAAACAAACAAACAAAAAAATATAACTAGGTTCAAAAGAACTTTTTTTTTTTTGAGGCTAAAACTCTAATCACGAGGCCCTAGAATGGTGGTCCTCTGATGGAGTGGTTTTGCTTCCATGAGGTGACCTTTGGCAATATCTGGAGACATTTCTGATTGTCAACTGAGCCGGGGTGGCCACTGCCAGCTGGAGAGTGGAGGCCTTAATATGTTCTTTTGAAGATTGAAATACTACAGAAGTATTTGAAAACGATGAAATGACCCATTTCATTCCTCCCTTCCCAGAGATCACCTCTCTCAATAGTTTTCCACATCTTCCGGTCCCCTGGTTATGCCTTTACAGGGATGTGATTTATAACAGAGGGATCATCCAAAACAGAATTCTGCAAACTATTATTTCTTCTGATGTCTATTGCACATTGCACATACTCCTTGTATTTCCGCTCTTTTTTTCATCTGACAAGTTTTGGACCCCAGTATTTATACCAGAGGCACCTGTAGAAGGTACAAGAGATGACCAAATTTTTTTTAAAATCCTAAAATTCTTTTAGTGACTGGATGAGTATTCAGCCATTGACCAAAATATTGCTGCCGACAATACTTGGGACAGTCCAGCAGCACTTGGGGCTTACTATGTGCCTGGCATAGCAACTGAATAGATTGATACTATTAAGGTGAAGGAAACTTGAGGCCCTGAGTCCACTGGAGCCATAATTTGGGCCCAGGTCTTCCTGACTTCAGAACCTATTCTGTTCATGATGTTCATGATGCTAAGGGGTTGAATTAACCTTTTGACACTGGATACAGTTGGCCCTCCGTATTCTGTTTCCACATCTGGGATTTAACCAACCACAGGTCAGAAGTAATTAGGGCCCTAGCTGGTTTGGCTTGGTGAATAGAGCATCGGCCTGTGGACTGAAGGGTCCTGGGTTCAATTCCAGTCAAGGGCACATGCCTGGGTTGCAGGCTTGGTCCCCAATAGGGGATGTGCAGAAGGCAGCTCATCAGTGATTCTCTCTCATCATTGATGTTTCTCTCTCTCTCTCTCTCCCGTCCTCTCTGAATCAAAAATATTTTTTTTAACAAAAGTAATTAGGGAAAAAAGTTAGGTTGTTGCTGACATGTATAGTATAGTTAAATCTGTGGTGGGTGTGCCTATATTGGAGATGTGCAGACTTTCTCATTATTACCTAAACAATTCCCTAACAACTATTTACATGACATTTACATTATATTAGATGTTATAATTAATCTAGAGATGATTTTAAGTATACACAGGAGGATGTGCTTAGGTTATGTGCAAATACTATGGCATCCTATATAATGAAAGGCTAATATGCAAATAGACCAAACCACAGACTGACCGGTTGCTATGATGCTCACTGACCAGGGCAGATGCTCAACACAGGAGCTGCCCCTTGGTGGGCAGCGTGCTCCCACAGGGAGAGTGCTGCTCAGCCAGAAGCCAGGCTCACGGCTGGCGAGAGCAGAGGTAGTGGCGAGAGCCTCTCCTGCCTCCGCGGCGGCACTAAGGATGTCCGGCTGCCAGCTTAGGCCGCTCCCTGCGGGGAGCAGTCAGACACCCTCCAAGGGCTCTGGACTGCAAGAGGGCACAGGCTGGGCTGAGTGGGGGACCCCCCACCACCACCACCACTGAGTAAACGAATTTCGTGCACCAGGCCTCTAGTTTTATATAAGGGACTTGAATGTCCTTGGAATTTGGTCTCTTTTCAGGGTCCTGGAACCAACCTACTGCATATACCAAGGGATGACTGTAATGCATTCTGGCACTATTTCTTCATTTTATATGAATTACAAACATTTTCTGTAGTACAAAGTTCAGGGAATGTTTTAGTTTCACAGTTTTATTTATCAGTGATTTTAGAAAACCTTTTCTTAAAATACTGTAGGCTATTCTATATTAAAATTTTATTTGGTGTTTTCCTTAACTATTGGAATGAAATTCTAGGTGTTATTCACAGTTGGTAAAAGTGGGCCAGCCATGGCTGGCTGACCTCATTTTTGTAAATAACTTTTTATTAGAATAAAGCCACACCTGTTGCTTTACATATTGTCCGCTGCTGGTAACACAGTGGCAGAATGGAGTAGCTGCAGCAGGGCAAATAGTTTTTGGTTCTTTAAGAAAAAATTTGCTGTCCTCTGATTTTGGGCATCACTTATTTTGTTTAAAGTAATGTGTCTGACTATTGTTAACATATATGACATTTTATGCATTCTAACATATAGAGGCTTATAAAGGTATAACGAGAGTAGGTGTAAAAGTAACTATACTAGCCCGTGGCTGAGGAAGAGGGAATGTAAGGGGATTTTGACCTTTTATTTTATTTATGTATTCCTCATTCTTACAGGTATAATTCCATCTAAATTTTGTTTTGAAGAATTGTAGTTTCATCCCCATCTCTGTTTTCTCTCTATAGTTGTCCTTTGTAACATAATATTAGATATTAGACAAAACTAGCATATTCCTGTAGGCATATTCTTTTATTTCTTCGTTATATGAAATTGCAGCTGTGCTTTTGGGTAGGGAAGAAGGAAGATGGCAAGAATAAATATTTGTGAGAAAAAATACCCATTACATAATGTAAAGTTTGGAAAACAATTATTTTTAAAAAATCCTGCTCTGTGCTCTTCAACCACTGCCTGCCCCTCAGCTCAGACCATTGTCACTTCCCATCTTGTTAACCTCCTCACTGGTTTGTCAGTCTGAGTCAGTAAACATTTATGGAGGGCCTTCTGTGTGCCAGGCACAGTGCTAGGTTGGAGGTAAGAAGATGAGTCAGAGGAAGTGCCTTTGAGCTTGCAGTCTAGTTAGGGAGCAGCTAGATGATTTCAATGTAAGAGGTAAGGTAGGACTATGTACAGGAGAGTGACACTAGGCCCAACCGGGGGGTCAAGGCAAGTTTTCTAGAACAGTGGTCGCCAACCTTTGGGACCTCACGGACCACCAGTTGGCGGCGGCTGTTCTAGAAGACATAATGGCAAACTTAAGTCTTGGGCGATAGGTAAGAGCTAGGTAAAGGAGTGTGGGAACGGCATTCCAGCAGAGGGAGTGGTGTGAGCAAAGAAAGGAACAGTGTGCAGCAGTAGCACGTGTAAAACAACACAGGCCTTTGTTTCTTGAGTGTGAAGAAGGGAGGTATGGCGGGCCTCGGTCATTGCGGCCTTGTGCTCTACATCAGGGGCTCAGACCTTCCTCAGCTGGCAGTAGGGAGCCACTGAGGTTGTCAGGCGGAGGTTTTAGGTCTCTGACAGCGTGGAGAACAGACGAGTGGATTTTGTTAGTCCAGCATAGAGGCAGGAGCTCAATTTAGAGGCGGAGAGTCACTGGGAAGAGTCATTGGGGGCCTAACCAGAGTCAGTAATTGGAGGCATGTGGAGGAGGAGTGGGTTCAGCAGATGTTTCGGAGGTTTGCAGAGGAGGTAGGTGTGGCGGTGCAGGGAGGACTTTTGGATGACTTAGGTGACCTGTTTCTGTTCTTGCCTTTCTTCATCCAGTCTGTTGCCCAGATTCAGTCTTGGCCTAAGCTGTGTCTGCTAGTCTTTCTGGTATTGTTTCCCCTTCGTCGTATGCTGCTTCAGCCTAGAAACTGTGCTGACATTACCAAGCACCTACTGTGCTCCTGGCTGTGGGAGGTGTGGGGATGGATGACCATTGAGGACCAGTAGCTCCCGGTGCAGCATGGCTCAGGCCTCCCTGCTTGCTCCGGAAGGCAGGCTTTGGGATTACACAGGCCTCGGTTGATAGCCTGCCCTATTGGTGGAGTGACTTGGGGTTATTACTTTCATGTTCTGTTTGGTAAAATGGGCATAAAATCCCTACCTGTTTGGAGTTGTTGTAAGAAGTCAACACACTACGTTTATATAGGTCCTAGGACTCAGTAAGTAGTAGCACTTACTGTCTTTTCCTTTTGTTAACAGATCTATCACAGAATCCCCAACTCAGATTCATCTTCCAGTAAAACCAGGCAGATCATCTCCACCATCAGAACACAGAATCTTCCCAGCTGTCAGCTGACCTCCCGAAGCCACTACTCCCCCATTTACCTGTCGTTTCTCATGCTCCTGGCTGCCCTGAGCTGGCAGTATGTGAGTACCCTATCTCAGGTCACAGAAGACTATGTCCAGACCGGAGAACACTGATCTGTTCACCATGAAATAGACTGACCTTTTTTTCAAAGAGGGATATTGGCTTCCCCTTTTCTCCCCTCCTGCTTTAATCCTGTAATTCTGTGGGCTTGGACCCTGAGAAACTGAGGTGCAGCTGAGAAGAGAATAAAAGAGGATCCCTCACCCTCAGCACCTGCTACCTGTGGGTTGTGCTCACCTGCACATGGTGGCTGACGGTGCACTCGGTGGTGCAGGTCGGGAAGTGGTTGCCCTGGGACCCCTGACAGATCTGTGTGCATCCTGATTAGTTATAATTAAATGTGTTTAATTTAAAGCAACCTTTGATCTCTTATCCTAGTAGAAAAGTGAACTGAATTTTCTTCATGTTCGTTTGTTTTTCTCATTTTTTTCTTCAGTTGATTTGAAGGTAATAGCTGTGAAGTTTACAGCTCTGGGTAATTTTTCTGTTTCCTACGAATACAGACCATGTTCTGCACATGAAGGCTGGGAATTAACTTCATGGTGTCTGGTAGCATTTTCTTCTTTGAAGAGGTTACCTTTCAGAAAGATTGCCTAAGCCCCATTGTTGAAGATTGGTCTCGTTAAGGCTGTTTTTGATTTTGTAAAATAATGAATTACTCTGCAGGGGTCAAATGCAGTTCACTTGAAAGCTTGGGTGAGTATGGCAGATAAAGGAACTCAAGGGTGGAATTAGTGCTTGAGGGACGGATGGCACCATGATGCCACCTGGTGCAGTACCAATAAGGACACAGCTGCCTGGCCCTGGCATGATGGCCCGCTGGGAGCTGGGAAAGGGGCCCATGGCAGCCGCCGCGCTGCTCCAGCTGGTAGCCTGATTAGCTGCCAGCCTTCTCTGCTTTTGGCCAGTTCCCTTAGCTGCTTTCAGGGTTTTAAACTCAGCTTTTGTTTCTTTTCGTTACCAGTTTATACACTGAAGTCTCAAGAAAGGCAAAAGCCATCCATGTTCAGGTGATTGGCTTGAAAGCTGAATGGTACGCAGCCCAATTCTAGCGCCCTGTTCACCTTCCTCCTTCCCAGCACAGCCGTTCTGTGATGTACTCTCACCCAGTGACTCGCTGAGATCTCAGCTTGGACTAGGGAGGGACCCGGCCCCACTGGGGTGCCTGAAGCCCCTCAGGCTGAGAATCGCGGGTAGGGCGCAGCCCAGTGCTTTCTAGAAGCCATTAGTGCTCTCTGGGTGTATATAGCATACAGCCTACTCTTTGCTGCAGTCCTGTATGAAGTGCGATTTGGTGACTTTGAGGTTTTCCCAGCAATGGTGTTGGATTTGCATTGTTGTACACATGCCCACACTGATTTTCCTCCTGTGACAGCCGCCACCGGACAGTTGGCTTAGTTTTTTGGTCCAGGGAAGCTTCAGATAATTGGTTCATTGGAGGCTCAGCCCTGGAGAAACGACTGACTTGCCATGTACCCACCATTCAGCTGTGAACCAGACTCAATAGTAATCTTCCAAGAGGTTTAAAGCATCAAAGCTTGGTTTGAGCCCTGGCCGGTTTGGCTCACTGGATAGAGCGTCAGCCTGCGGACTCAAAGGTCCCAGGTTCGATTCCGGTCAAGGGCATGTACCTTGGTTGCAGGCACATCCCTAGTAGGGGGTGTGCAGGAGGCAGCTGATCGATGTTTCTCTCATCGATGTTTCTAACTCTATATCCCTCTCCCTTCTTCTCTGTAAAAAATCAATAAAATATATTAAAAAAAAACAAAAAAACTTGGTTTGAGATTCCAGGACGGGTTAAGAATTTGTGTGAAGTCTAAGGTGAGCTCTGAAGTTCATGGTGGACAGAGCCTTGGTCTGAGGTGGACATCCCAGAAGCTTCTCCTGTGGCTCAGCCACGACCTGTGGGACTTGCCAAGCTTGTGTGGTTTGGTGACCTTAGGCCCCTCCCAGCTGGAAAGCGGTGGAATTTTTACGTCACTGACTTGGGTAGAGGTCTTAGATCTCAGGCCCACATCTCCCTTTCTTGAGACTTCAGATGTTTCCTTTTAAATGTTTTTCTACTAAAACTGCCAGATGAAATGCAGGGTGAAACCCAGTTAAAACTCGGATAAATTTAAGTATAATTATATCCCAAATATCACATGAGATATATTTATATAAAAAATTGTTCGCTTTCGCAGCACACATACTAAAAACAGTCTGAAATTCAAATCAAATTGGGCATCCTATATCTTTATTTGCTGAACCTGGCAACCCCACCCTTTATACCACACTTTAATGTAATTAATAAAATGTATGGCATTCCTGGCATGCAGTCTACCTGATTCCTCCTCACAGTGGTAGCTGAGGTAATGATCAATGGCGATAACTTGAGGTTTATTGATGCTGATCCCTATTTTTTTCTAACAAAAACTCCTTAAGCCAAATGTGAAGATGACCATCATGTTACATCATTTTGCACATCCCTCCTGGCTTCTGGGATGAGGATGGAGTTGCAGGGAACACTGGAGGTAGGAGAAAGTGCGTGAAAATGGAATTATTCAACTCAGTGTGGGAGTAGGTAAATAACTTCATTGAGGTTATGAATATATTCTCATCTAAATGTTAATAAAATATTATGAATTTATAGCTTTGGTAAATGCTATGCTGGGTTTTACAGATTTTTCCTAGTGTTCACTGGGTGTTTAAGAAGTTATCGTAGGAGCTTCTGATTCTTCTGAGTCACATCAGAAGTCAAACTTCATGATTTTGGGAAGAGCTAGTCCAACTCTCAGGTGGGGAAGGGAAATAAGATACTGAAGGCCAGTGGGATGGGTATTGATTCTTCAGGTTGCCTCTGTTCCCCTCAAGAACTGGTGTACCTCGTAGCTTATGATTCTTAGCTAGGCCTATCCAAAGGAATCTTTCTTAACCAGCAGTAAATTAAAGTCACAGGGAGCTTGCAAAGGAGTGCACCAGGCTCTGCCTCCACCCCATTCCAGCAGTGGGAGGCGCCAGGGAAAGCTGGTCCTCCAGTAGGACATGGGCTGTGACAGGGACTAAAAAGAGAGAAGCTGTGGTCTGAACGGATGCTGGAGTGGAGAGAAGCTAAAATTAGGTATTTACTTTGTTCGCCTCGACTGACGCCCTGATTAGAGTGTAAAGAGCACCCAGACCCATGAGCCCATGTTTCTGTCTGTGGGATAAGGATAGACAGCAGCCACGAATCTACAAATGATCTTCGAGGTCCCACCAGAACAGACCTGACATTGAAGGAGAAACCTTTTATTGGCACAGTATTCCTTCTTTAATAGGGTATAGCAGTGATTTTTAAACAATAAAGGCTGGTTTCTCTCTATTTTCATTGTATTAAGAGGTTAGTAAGTCAGTCAAATCAAGACCACCCAGTTCGTTTTAAGGAGACAATCGGTAAAACTAGTACAGCTCTTCCAACATTAGACTACTTCATTCTCATGATCAGCTGAGGTGCACACAAAAATAAAACTTCTATTTAAAAATCATGCCAAGATCAGAGCAGGTTAGCAACACTGCAAAGCTCGACAGATGCAGGAGCCCCAGGAGAGTGGCTTTTTCCAAAGGGCTGCCCCACTATTTCTCTTCTCAACCTATTTCCAAATTAGAAAGCTGCTTGCTCAGAGGTACTGCTGATGGTGGGATGCACGGGAAGCTACGATTAGGAAATCCACCTTTCGTTCCTTTGAAAAAAATGCGAACCCTGTAGGCCTATCATGCTCCCTGGTGATGCAGATGGAGAAGGACTAAGGATGTGGAGGTGGTTGCAGGAAGAGCCGAGCAGCACTAGTCTAAGGGGGAAGGACTTGCGTTGCGTGTAGCAGTGGTTTAAATGCATTGTGACAACAGTCCACTGAGTGGCCTGGGAGGTAGCCAGGCCTTGGCTGTGTCTCCTTGGAAGACTGCTCTCATGGTAGACACAAGGTTTGGCCCAATCCAGTCCTTTAGGCCCTGTCTAAAACCCATTTGTACTCAAAGAATAAAAGACATTCCTATCCCTCATGTCACCCCAGCCCCACTGGCTATATTTCAGGGAACACTGCCCCAGGGCTGGCTGGAAGGGCCCACAGCAGGTTAGATCCTTTTCCAGTACTGGTCCGTGCAGGGGAGTCCAGCCACGATCTCCGACTCAATTCCACAGTGATCCTGTCCTCTGAGGATTTTAAAGAAGCCTGGAAAGCAAAAGTAAGATGCCTTTAAAGTGCGCCTTGGGTTTGGGGCCTTGCCAACATATTCAGACTCACCCCTGAAAGACCCAGGAGCGAAAGTCACCAGACACCAAACCAGCATCAGAGTGCTTTATCAGCTTCCACTGTTTGTACAGCAACCCCGCTCCACATCAACCCCATGTCACCTGTCACTGCACCTGGTGCAAGGGGATGGGAGGCACAGCGATCTGAAGCTGGGCCCTGCTCCCTACCACCCTCTCTCAGGATCAGAAGCTGCCCTTGGGGCAGAGGGAAACTAGCCCACTAGCACCTGGAAGGTCACGGTTAAGCCTAGGGTTTGGAGCTGTGCAGTGGGTAGAGCAGAGGAAGATAAGATGACAACTGTGTTCTGGCTCGTAACACTATATTCTTAGCAGGAAGGGAGCGGCACTCACCATTGTCACCCCAGTCGGTGTTCCAGGAGTTGCCTACCAGCCAGTAGGGGGTGTCATTCTCTACCCCCCAGCCCAGAATGCGGACTGCATGGCCTCCCACCATTTCTCCAGTGACATGTTGGTACACGCCTGAGAAAGGAAAACACCAGTCAGGCTGAGACCCAGCCACTGCCCATCCCTCACAGCACCCCTCCATGTCAGCTGGCTCCCCAGGCAGGATAATCGGGACCCAAAAGGCCTACTATTGTCTTCAAACAGGGGTTCTCTATTCGGTAGTTATTTGAATATATTTTTGAAAGCCCAACACACAATTATGTTGAGTAAACATTACAATGGGAGGCCAATGAAACATGCCTGTTGGCTGCCTTTAAAACTAAAGTTATAAATTAGAATTTAAAATTTAACGTTTAAATACCAATGGTCTGTTTTACATACTAGGACTCCATGTAATGATTTGTTGAAAGCAGTGTGTGGCGGAGAGTTCACCTGCTGCTCTGGGGTCACCAGAGAGGAGATGCAGAAAAGAACTGAGCTGGTAGAGCCAGTGTCAATCAATGGGAGAGAAAAAGTGCTCAGGGTGCTGGCCAGCCAGCTGTACCCTAGTGAGTCACTTTGCTGGAAATGTATTCTTAACTAACATGGGGGCTGTGCTAAGAACTACCAACTTTGGCTCTAGCTGATTTGGCTCAGTGGATAGAGCGTGGGCCTGCGGACTGAAGGATCCCAGTTTCGATTCAGATCCAGGGCACACGCCTGGGTTACAAGCTCGATCCCCAGTAGGGGGTGTGCAGGAGGCGCCAATCAATGGTTCTCATCATTGATGTTTCTCTCTCTCCCTCTCTCAAATCAATATACATTTTTTTAAAATTACCAACTTTAATTTTTTTCTTGTCAGAATCATCTTCTTTTGTCTAATCCAGTGGTTCTCAACCTGTGGGTCGCAGCCCCTTTGGGGGTCAAACCACCCTTTCACAGGGGTGGCCTAAGACCATCGGAAAACACACATATAATTACATATTGTTTTTGTGATTAATCACTATGCTTTAATTATGTTCAATTTGTAACTGAAATTGGGGGTCACCATAACATGAGGAACTGTATTAAAGGGTCTGGGCATTAGGAAGGTTGAGAACCACTGGTCTAATCCTTTCTAAGAGTTGAGAGCTGTGGAGTTTTCAATTTAGCAGCAAGTACATGAGACAGAAGTGGTCAGCACAGACTGTTCATCGGAGGTGAGGGGTTTCTAAGACAGCTCTCGGGCCAAGGACTGGCCAGGTCCCTGTTTCCTTGTCCCTGGGGGTGGTAGGCATAAGGCTAGGGCTTTGCCCAGAAAAGATGAATAAAGAAGGTCACTCAACCCAGACACAAAATCTGCAGTTACAAGGTGATGGATATGCTGACGGAGCAATGGAGGAGAATGGAGGCAGGAGCCAGAGGCTCCAGGGAGGGGGAAAGACTCCCCTGGGAGATCTTTGAGCTGGCTATTCAGGGATGAATGCAATGAGCAGGAACTACCCATATAAAAACATTGCAGCGGGATCCGAATAGCATGTGCAGAAGAGGCAAACAGGTGCAAGAAAGCAGAGCAGAGGCAGCTGCTGAGGGGTCTGTAGAGCCCGGTGAGGGGAGGCCTGGCACTGCCCTTCTGGATACCCTGCCTTCCCCCTTTGATCAGGTCCTGTTGGCCCACCTGAACCCAGACCCCCCCCCCCCCCCCCCCCCCCGCCGTGGCCATCTGGGGCCAATACACACCAGACTTGTACATCAGGAAGTCTGAATACACGGAGAAGGCTGCCTCCACTGGGCCATTTTTGTAGATCTCTGCCATGATCTCCTTCTCGCTACTGGGGACGCTGTATGACTTGCATCCTAGCAAAAAAACCAGCAGGTGAGGTGAGACGTGCCGCCAGAGGCTCCACCAGCCAGTTCACTGATTTACGGGGAGCCACCAGGTGAAGACTGAGCATCCAGGAGACTTGCCCAGTCTGCGGAGGGGGAGATGTGGGGACGGGAGGGGTGGTGGTGACCAGGAACCCCGAGGGAGGAGTGATTGGACTGGATCTGGAAGTTGAGAAGTGGGAGAATGTGGCCCTGAGGGCAGAGTGGGACTGGACCAGGACTGAACCAGGTCACTCCCCTGTACAAGGGGTTTGGTCCCCTCCAACTCTGAGGGTCTGACTCCTAAGACCACATCCCTGAGATGGAATTCGGGGTGGAGACAGAAAACACAGCAGGCAGGCAAGAGGCATTAGTGCCCTTCCTTGCTCCATCCCGTGTTCCTGACTCAAGACTCAGCTGCCCTGGCCTCTTTCTGTGGCTTGGGAAGGCTGTCAGCGGGTCTCAGGCCCAGTGTGCTTACCGTAGTGTTTATCTTCTTTGTAGGATGGGGTGTAGCCCGGCTCACAGATCTTGCTACACTGCGGGGTTTCCCCGCCTTCCCCTGTACATGAGGGCCGAGAGCCATTCACGTGGTGCTCACAGGGAGGGATGGAGTATGGTCTGCAACCTGTAGGGACCAAGTAGAAAGGAAGGTCTTGGCCAACAGCCCCTACAGAGACTTTTCGAGGCCAGAAAGAATTAGGATGATGACTCACAGGAACAGTAGATACCCCCAAGTCTGCAGCCTGGGTCTGTTCCCCCCAACCCCCCATTGCTAATTTTGCCATTGAGAGGATTGGCTTGTCTTTCTACCCTG